GTTGAGGACGGTGGATTTGGGGTGGGGTTGAGAAAGATAGAGATTCCGGTTAGATTGCGAGCGCTATCTGTATGTTAAGCACGCGGTCTGCGTGTGACTTTTCTCAGGGCGTCGGGACGGCGTGCGATCACCACCTGGAGTCGTCCAGGGAAGACTGACTGCTTGTGTCAGCGTCTTCTGACAACGGAGCGCTGGGTTCACCAGCCGAAAGGCTACTGTTTCAGCTGCGACTAGCACCCGTTTGCGCAGGACTTTAGAGTAGTGTTTTGGAACGCGGTAGATAAATTCAAAGACTTCTTTGGCGTCAGATTGGTGATTCGTATCAATTAGATGAGTGAGAATTGAACTTGAAATCGACCGATTTTCCCCTCTACCCATTCAGGCAGGCATGTGTTTGTGTATCCTCTTTTCTAGAGGCCTTGCACTACGGTCAATATATCCTGTCCAACAGCAGCAGATGAATGAATAAATGCACATGGAAGTAGACTATAACGTCGGCCAGTCTTTGTCGTCGGGTACCTTTGTCTCGCTTTTTCATTAATTCTTCGTAACACTTTATTGGCCTTTCGATGTACGCGACGCCAGTAACCCCGGCTGTATGCACAACAGAACAGAATAAAAAACAAACGGCTGTTAGAAAGTGGGGCCGGAACAACAACAAAGACGTCAGGCAGCCAAAGCGTGTGCACGACGGCCTGGCAGAGTATAGAGTAATTCCAAGGGTTTCATGCGCACAATCTAACATAAAGTACGACTGATTAACCTATATAAATGCGCGCATTCATTCTTGGCCTTAGAAACGTCAACGCCATACAAGTGCAAACTAAGCAAATCATGGGACCGAAATGGTCGCGGAAATTCGAGCTCGAGACGCACGACCTTGCTACTAAAGTACCTCCTGCTCGACGGGATGTCAACTTGCCAGACTAAAATTTGTATGTGCTTGAAGACTAGAAGCTTACTTCTGTCCCATCCTTCACGTTACTAAAGGTCCATACCTTCAACAGGTCGTGTCGTTTCGTCTTTCACGATCTTTCAGTTTAGTCATCAGAAATCTTAGTTTTCTCAGTTTCGTCATTTTGAGTTCCGTGAAAAACGGTTTTTTTTACCAACCTTTCGTTCAAAAAAATAATCGAGGTCATCTTGATGCACACGTTCTCAGCCCCCTTTTTTCGCCTGTCGCTTATCCTCATCAGGATTCCGCTTTGGCTAACAAGGTTCTGAGGCTTCACCTTCATTGTCTACTCCTTCATAGGTTTGCCGAAGCCCAGCATCCCCATCTACACTATGATGACACTTAGTTCTCATTTACTGATATATATATATATATATATATATATATATTTGGTCGCACCACACCCCCATGATGAATCTACTTTACTCCTCTTCATTCTTTATGAGGCACTTTTTCGGCATGATTTAATGAAAGAGTGGGCTCCCCGAACTATCCGCATGCTTCAATTCTAGGCGCTTTCCTGCTGCATAACCCAGAGTTCACACATTTTTCGAAAAAATCTAGATTTGAATTCTGCGGAACTTAGCATTCTGAGTATTGTGTGCGAGAAGATATATCAACGGCTCATGTCGAAAGCTTTTTCTTATTTGCACAACGCAACTCCCATATTGTGCGGAAGCAAACATTTAGTTGTATTTAATATTTTATCATTTAAATTAGCATCAATTTTTAATGTTAATACTTTCTGCGTGCTGAGTCAAAAAGAATATCATTCATTTGCCCAAGCTGCGATTAACTCGGTTGCCTTAGTGGGATTCGAGCCCACGACAGCAAGGGCAGGGTCCGAGTACAGTTACCGCTCTAACCATCTGAACAACGAGCGCTGGTTGTACTGAGGCCTCACACTTCATATCTAAGATTCGATCTTCCACGAGGCCGCCGAGATTTTAACAAATAGGTCAAATGACTTATGTTTATCTGCCAAAACGCCAATAAACTATTGTAATTGCATTGTTAGCCAGCTTAGATGATGTCCAATGACGACCTCTTTGTCATTCTCTTCCCGTGACAGCAGCAGACGCAGCCTATAAGCAGCTACCGTTTGGGTGACCTCAAAGTCCTTTAAGTCGAAAGTTATATGGCTTTGTCGGAAAATTATCTAGTAAATTTAAGATATGACTTTCACCAGTAAAATTCCACTTGTACGACTTCCGTTTGCTTCATTTGGGCCCCCCGAACGGGTCACGTTGTAGATATGCTGGACGAACACAGGGGCCATATGGGATTCTGTCAGGCGTTACCGGATTTGCTTATCATAAAAAATATTAATATTTCGAGGTGCGGTGGCAGTCCCGGTTGCTAACAGACGTCACGCACATTGGAACCCCCGCCGACCCCATTGTCGTTGTTGGTCATAGACCTCGTTATTTGCTGTGTGCATCCGGGGGTTTGGAGCATAGCGCCAGGTTACGGACTCGGTCGTACCATCCACCTGCGCCCTCCTTGTCTCCGTCCTTCTTGACAATGTTTTGACACCGAACCCTGGTGGAAGAGGAGGAGTGACGATAGATGCTAAGCAAGTCCACGTTCATTATAAACTAAGTCAGGCGCGAGTCACCGTGTCGGCTTCATCTTGCTGTGAAGCACACGGTGGACATCGTCAGCAAAGACGGTTGAACTATATGGATATCGTACTTTCCGTTGTATTCCTATTGCCGTTATTTTCTTGGAGTACCTTTGCCCGACCGACGTCTGGCAATCCACTCCGGAAAGTAAACATCTAACGCTATGTTCATACCTATTAATTACTTCATAACAGTGCATATCATATGACCGAAGAAAAAGGAAACGGGACTAACACTGTGTGGTAGCATAATGTGAATTTATCTAAGTTAATATGGCAAGACATTTAGAAATATATATGCCTTGCAGCCCCTCATTTAATGAAGAAGATCCTTCCTCGTCGAACAGATCCTTACTCCTACGTTTGACTAAGGCTACATGCGGCAACTGTCCCCAAACTCGTTTTGCTTGCCGCAGTTAATGCAGCCTCGTGAAGCACTGTTTCCATTAATACTATTCATTCGTCTGGCTGCCTTACGCCACCTTTTACATCATAACCCTTGAATTAAATGTGTGCCTAACAGCGCATTCCGCCAGCCTATTATATCATTGTCCGGCTATGAAAAGCCCTCAAGTGCACAAACTCCTACACACTATCAGAGACATCTCTGCAATGGTCTTGACACATCTAAGATTGCTAATTAAGATGGAAATGTCGATGCAAAATTCTCCCAGGCGAAAATGGGTTCATAATCGCTAGTGGCTCCTTGTTTCTCTCCTGACAGTTCAGGAGAACGCTGGGGGTAGGTAAGACTAATGGACAGTTATAATTCGGTATAATCAGCCTAGTAATAGACGACAAAAAATGCGGTTTTAAAATGTCGAACCTCTAGAAAATTATTCAAAACAGCTGTATAGCCGACTCGCCATGCAAGTGTCTGTGCGATTGCAAACCTGATGTGGCGTAAACAGCTGTGTATGTTGTAGTCCTTGATTTTCATATCGAAAAACAAGCAGGGAAACTTTTGAGCACAATTGCTTTTTAATCCTTTTCGTGTGCCATTAAAACAGGCAAAGAGTTGTAGCTTTAATGCTGCTTTTGTCCACGGCCAGGACGTCTGTTTTTGGTTTTGTCATATTTTATTACATTTGGCAGCCCTTTTTCGCCTTCTTTGATGCGGGCGCATTCTATTCTAATATGTACTCTCCTATTCACCATCAGATATTTATTTTATATTTTTGCTTCTTTGTTAATATTTGACATCCAGTCATCCTTTATTAGGCTCTGCTTGCCCTAACCCGGTGTTCGCGTTTGGTTTCCAACACACAGGGACTGCTCTGCGGCATTGGATGTTGATATTTCACGCATTTGAAATTAGGTTACATTATATTCACCCTCCAACATCTTTCTTCTTGTCCAGCGCCAACGGGCCTGTTTTCGACTCTATTGGGCTGCATCGAGACTCTGATATGGACTTGTGAAAGGCTGAGGGAAAACTGATCTTGAAATAGTTAGTGTTTGGCGGACACAATAAACAGAAGTGTATAGGGATGCAGTCAAACGTGGTTAACGATGAAGCAGCGTAAGCGATATCTTAGGCAATATTACGTTCTAAAGACGAATAATTACATTTAGGCGGGAAGCTGTGAGTGAAACCTACGGATAATGACCACGAAATGGAATTGAAGAGCAATAAAAATAAGTGTCTTCTCAAAATCACTAACATGAAAGTCCGACGCAGTGATGGGTCTCTGTATAAAGTTCAAATAAGATGGTTCAATCCCAGCAGTACGATTTATGATCTAGCAACAACAAGTGACAGCGAAATCCGAGCGAGAGCGGGACACGATAAAAGCAAAGCTCATTTGTAAAATAGAAAGTGAAGGCAGAAATTGAGAACATGCATGGGCTCGCAAACCACTTCAATCCGAGGCACAGTTAAAAATCCTTATGCCACTTCTCGACTGCGGCTGATTCATATGCTTCCAGTAATGAAAACCTCGCCAGTTTTTTTCTATCATTTTCCGAGGACGCTATGGGAACTTTGCTTTTTATGCGCTACGGAAATACCCAGGCAAACCCCTTTCTTAACACAATCACCTGTTCCACTATGGCTTTTTATATTCAATTTTAATTTAAGCTTGTGAGTTTCTGCAGAAGCAGATAATCCTATTTATTCAGAATGTTGAAAAAGAGTGCGTCGACTCCTCAAGTCGATGCTCTTGAGATAACTCCACCGACTGTGACATTTTGCTCTCTATCGAAACTTCGTTAAATTTCTTCTGTTCTTTAAACGGGATACTATTTCATAAAAATAACTACAAAAAAACACTTCAATATTTTGGGGGTTTGCGGATTTTCAAGAAATCTTGCTCCCTTTCGGGATCGTGATGAAACTGAGACGTCGAACGACGGCCTTGCCTTCGTTTGTTTTATTTTTGCTCGTGCAGGCGCGTATTGGGTTTCCGCGCGACATTCGGCATGGATTCGCTCCCGGTTCTGGGATATTGGAAAATCCGCGGGGTATATTACTGTTGTTCGATTCTTTAATGACGGTTATCACGGTTTCCCTTGATTGTCCTCTTTAGATGCATTAATTCTAGTATCCCTGTTCTTTGCGGGCAATTTTTGACTACTAATATGTTATCAGTCTCACTTGGTTGATCGTGCATGTCCGCTTAGACTCATAATTTTGCGGATACGTTAGCGCCTTTATGCTGCAGTTAATGAGTCGATCTGTGTTCTTTGGTTTTACAGACTGATTTGGCGATGTATCATCGCCTTTCCTGATTTCACGTATGAAAATTGTTCACTGTGCTCACGTTAGACTAAAAAGCCGAGCGTCTGCGCCAGAATGTACATGAAATCAATCGGGTGGTATTGCCAGACCCAGCCCTTGTGATCATACTGATCCCAGCTGACTGAACGAGGAATCTGCGTTAGTGATGTTTACATCGTACAATTATTTAAGGCAGTTGTATTTTTTGGGGTCAGGTGCAAATAATGCTATCGTTTGTTCCCACTTACCGTAGGTTTTCACTGGGTCCCTTAAATCTGCAAATGACTAAGTTTCTTTGTTTCACGTTTCAGTTGGCCCAAGCCATCCGTCTCCTCTTCCACTATTTGGGTCAAGAATACGTCGAGGAGTTATATGAGGCCGGCGGACGTAATTTATCGCTATTTGTTATATTTTTCAGCTCCCGATTTCTCTAGAGAACCATGGCTTAAACATAAATTCAACAAAGGTCTCGACTTTCCTAACGTAAGCCGACTTCACACACGCCACACTTGGTTAGCTGCCGTACTTAGTCGATGACGGATTCAAAATCACACAGTCCGGTGCTATCTTGGAGTATGTGGCTGACAAGCATGGAATGCGTGAGTTGCTCACTGTCGTTTCTCTGTAGTATCCATAGCTTTGCTTGGCATTTTGACCGGACCTCTATTGACTCATATGTAGCTTTATGTTGGTTTCCATGCCAGTTGTCTTGCTGGTGGCTGCGTCTGTAATCTTTAAAGATTGTTGGCCTCCAGGGTTTCAGCACAAATATCGGCGAAGCGATCTCGTTATTTATTTTTCGTCAACATCGATTAAGTTGAGAGTATCCCGGCAACATTGATACCGGTAACTTCAGTGGCTCAAGTTTGTTGGGATATCTGTCTAGCAGTTGTTGACTTTTATGACGTCCCTCCGTTTAAGTCTGTCTCATACGATTTCTGCCTTTAGGGATGCGGTTTTGCTACTTGTACTGTTGATCTAGGTGGGGAACCGTAGACGATTATGGTTAGTAGTTGTTGGGTGGCTTGTTTCATTTTACGTTTTCTTTTTAATGCCTATGTTCAAAAGAGTATTCCTAACTGTCCTCATGTTTTCGACCCGTAACGCTCTCCTTTTAATCATAGTCCCGACTTCTGCAAAGGAACGTGCTGTCTTGCACATGTTACAGAACGAATTGTCTGACTTCAGAGCAAGTTATGCTCGCCTTGTCTACAACCCTGACTTTGTAAGTTTTTCGCATTGCTCTAACGCGCGTTGTACAATAGTGATGTTTCTGGCCAGGTGCCGGTTTTTCTTGTGTCATTGTTTTCCATCCATGCATAAATCACTACATCGACCACTTGTATTAAAGCGGCATTTTGTTTTGGTAGAGCAAGCTTAAACAAGGGTTCTTGGATGAGTTGCCTCAAAAGCTTCGATTGTGGTCCAACTACTTAGGCGACAAACAATGGCTGACTGGTGACAAGGTAATTGGCAACTCTCTTCTTTCTGCCCGCGTCAGTCTTGTTTTTCGTTGCCACTGCATTGAGATGGTGGCAATTAATGCTTTATTCATTTCAGTGATTTTCTTAGCATACTGCGTTTTTCGCGTGCAGAACTTCATCTATATTCCGTTTATCGACTCTAGTTTTGAATGCTCTGCCACTTTTCTGAATCGGGCTTTGTTAAGTGAACCTACACGCAGCCGCAGGGGATAGTTAATGGGCTGGCTCTCTTCTGAGGAACGTTGCAGGGGACTGGAAAAAAAAGTAGATTGGTGCAGGCAGCCTTCCAAGCAATTACTTTACTAATCGCTTTAGGGTTCCCTCTCAATGCGACAATGGCGGGAAAATGTTGAGCTTTGCTGATGATGTCGGACAGGCTGTCAACGACGTCCTCCCGACATCTCCGCAAATATTCAGTCACGTGGTGTTCGGAGGCCGGTTGTACAGCCAATCAGGTTGACCATATTCTAGTCAGCTCGAGACCCCATAACTGGGTACATAATAGCGAATAGGTACGTGGTAGTTAATGGTATTTTCTCGGTACTGAACTACCATGTGCAATGTACACGGTGACTTCCTGAAAACTGTCAAGGTCGTAGGCTTTCTCATATTAAGTCCATTTCTCCAAGGAGTCTTCTCCAACCAGCAGCGTCGCGCGACCTTCCTCTGCAAGAGAAAATCACAGGCGCAGTATTAGGCTGCGGAACAATGCGTCTATAAAGACGTCCTAGGACTGTTGCCTAGGCCCGAAGGGTAGTTAGGTGGGTGTGGGAAGACAAGGTTGTTCCTAATGGCCGGCATTCTGCCATCTCTTGACTTGTCATAAAGGAAATTATACGTGGTGTGAGAAAGACGGCGTCTTAATTCGCATTTCTGTAAAGGTCTTCGTCATTTGTTATCCTTTGGCGATGCTGGAATATGTGTGACTCGAGGACGCGGCCCCCTTAAGCCGTTTTTCATGGTGGTTGTGGATGATCCCACAAAATGTTCACACTAGCTCTTTGCTGAACTTCGCGATGGCCTTCGGTGTGCGACAACCATTTACCTCGTCAAATTCGTCGCAGTGTTAGATTCAGTTAACCGTGGGCTCCTATGGTTGAGAATCGCGCTGGGCGATATTGCGGCAGCAATTACGGCTGTGAACAAGGCCTGCCATTGCACCACTGCTGCGTGGACTCCGCTCAGCAACAGCCTGACTTGCAAGGTCCTCGAGAGGATCCCACGCGGTTTCAGTGGTGTCCAGTTGTTATCGGGACGCTACCGGACTGACATAAACTGCGCTAACTATATTGGCTTGTCAGCGCCAAGCTGTAATGGCTTACAGAAAGTTGTGTCGTGGGCACTTTGGGTCGCCAAATCAGTCGGTCTATCTTTAAGTGCTGGATAAATTGAATCTTCTCGAACTGCGTCTTTAGTTAGACGGCTTTAAATATGTTGGGGTGAAGTTGTCTCCAGGAGGTCAGGGTAAGGCCTGATCTGCTGGATCCACAGAGTGGTCAATTGACCGTGTATTCGATAGTTATGCATTTAATGTGCTCACCTCTGTCCCTTAATTATCAAGTATTTCCTAGGAGCTAGGTCCCCTTCATCTTCCGGCTTCCACCTGCCCTGTTTGTCACTAGCTTTTGCGAGCATGCGAACCTGGGAACCAATTAAGTGTCACCAACGTCTTACGGCTAGGAACACAACGGATAGTTAGCAGAAACCAAGTGTCCGAGGAATTAGAGGCCCCAAACAAGCAAAGTGGTAAAACAACCTCTGGAAATTCATATCACCGACTGTGTCGGTAAAAGCACTTCGCAGATCCTTCGCCTCAGCACGAACGTCCATATTCTTATGTTACCGTTTTTCGGTCAACGCAGATTCAATACCCGGATTTCAATCTCTATGATTTTTTGGATGCACTAAGGAACCTGGAGCCCTCTTGTCTAAAGGATTTTCCAAACCTTCAACGGTATATGGAACGGTTTGAGGTTAGTACAGGTTTTACTTACCAATATTTGTTGCGTGACTCATAGAAATAGATGTCACGTTGTTTCTGTGTTCTTTACCCAAAGATAAATCTGCAGAGCGAGTTAAGTGTCCGTCCTTTCAATGGCGCTTAAACGACCTATCTGCGTGACGTCCAGAGACCCTCACGATCGCGCAATTTGGTCTGCAGCTAATGCCGCCAGAGACTAAATTACTGCGCCCTGTTTTCTTTTGTGCGGGATTATAAATGTTTGGGGCTGGTATCCAGCCCTACGATTTATCTATAAAACAGCGATGTTCTTGTCCTGCTTCTGATGGCCCATTTCTAAGTTGCATGTACAGGGAGCGTATGTACCTACGAATGCAGGAAGCTAGTAGGATCAATTCCGTAGTCAATGATAATCGTGCACTGTCTTATTTCGGGACCTACACCCAATCCGAATGTGCTCTGGTATTTAAACTTGTGTCCTCTCTCCATTCACGTTGTTTTGCGGCCTCTTGTTACTCCAGCTTTGCATATAAAACTTGCAGCTATTGGGTTTTCTAACTAGTGCCTTTTTCTATCACCCTCACTGATGTCTTTTCTTTCAGGATTTGGATAAAATCAAGGAATTCCAGAAGTCGGATGCATACATAGCCCGTCCGTTCAACAATACTGTTGCCGCCTGGCGTGGTGATGCTTAATTTTTTACGGAGTCTACTCTTGAAATAATTTGTAATCGGTTCTTAGTTTGCTGTCTATGCAATTTACTAGTACATTGTGTTGTTATATTTTGGGTTTTAACTTCCAGATCGGCATGGATAATAAGTGTATTACTCGACCGAACTAATTCCCTCTGCTTGTTACCCTTTCTAAGAACCGTCTTGTGACCGAGGTTTGAAGCATCAGCAGCGGGGTTTTAAATGTCTGCCGACCATGTTTCCTGGCAACGAACCTTTTAGACCCCTGGACTATCCGCCTCCGGTGCCGCGCCGTGATCCGTGGCAGGGCATCTGGGATGCTCGACCCGCTCTTTTTTGCTCGTCGAATACCAGACCCAGGAAATATTTTAGTCCAGTGACGGGCAGAGCTGAGTTTCGCAGTGTGGGATTCAGACTAACAGCGTCGGCCTTGTAAAATTCGTCGAACTCACGAAAATTTCCATGTAACCCAGGATACCTTTCGACTGGCGTTCTAAACGATGTCAATAGTCTACCCGAGTCTGCTGTGTCGCATGACCCGTAATGGCCCAGCACGTATTAACGTGCGAGATCGCTTAATTGGTCTTACAGTGGCCGCAAGATGATATTAGAGGGCGACGTAGAGAAGTGAAGATCTTACCGTTACCGCCAAATAACTTCGTGGCCTGGGTTCCATGAGTGCCTGTAAATTTAGGTGACCGCGCCAAGCTGGTCTTATACCAGCCGCATAATCAGCGCGTGACCGCATGGCCTGCAACTAAATCCCTTTGGGTTCGGTTGCTCCAACCCAGGGTAGTCGGTTACGTAAAGCGGATGGGTTGACCGCGCCGAGATCTGCACTTCCGGGGCAGACATTCGAGAGTCGCCCAAGGGGCTACTTGTGATCACTCCTGACTAGATTGACGCCGCACCTAATGTTGCGTGGGTTCTTTGTCGCCACAATGAGGTACGGCGTTTGCCTGGTGCTGAGTTTCATGCCTGCGTGGGGAAGTTGGTACCTCACGGGTTGTGTTTTGCGCTGTTCAGATTTTTGAGGACGCCATTTCATCTGGCCTTATCCACAGTCGTCTGGAGCTAGCGCGTTTCCGTGCCTCCTGTTTGCAGGTGATGGAGAGTTCGCTCAGAACTGTCGGCTCACGGTCGACGTAAGGCCAGCGTGATCGTGGGACAGCGGGTCTGGCTGCCACAAGGGACGAACAATGTTCTCGATTTCTATCCTCGCGGTGCGTTTGCAGACCGCCCGCTGTCAGCATTGCCTACAGGGTAGTGTCGGACCTAGAGGTCGTCGATATCATACCCCGGTATGTGTTTGTGATGATTCGCTTTGCGCAGTAAAAGCGAGAATAAAGCAGAGTTGATGGTCCCCTTCGGCACTTGGAATCACCCATCTCAGGTCCATTCCCTAAGTTGTGGCGGGGACTGAGGCGTGCGCGAAGGATATCTGTTTTATCTTCTTTTAAAATTTAAAAGAAGATGAAGGCACGATCACTGGGGCGGTAGATTTATTGGCCTTAACTTTCGAACTCGAACTAGGGTTCATAATCAGAGACTGCTAGAGTGCAGCGACGTGTGAACGTTTATGTCGTGCCGTGAGAGAAGGGGGGCTACGTGGCTGGGTCTGGTTTGTGCCGCCTGGCCCACAATGGTCCCCGGGCGGGTCGGCGATGTGAGCTGCGCTACCTGGCTGCGTGGACGGAGTGCGTGATAACAAGCAGGCAAATCAATGTGTCTATTGATAGAGTTGGCGTTCAACACCCACGCCTCCAACATTTCTCGCCCCGTCTTGTTGCCAGCACGCGCCAATATCCGCGTGTTAGCGAAGTCGACCTCATGGCCTTCCTCCAGCGTGTGAGTGGCGAACGGCCCGTTTGTGCTCAAGCATTCGTGAGCTCGAAAGCTAAGGTCAATAAATCTACCGTCCCAGTGATAGTGCCTTCGTCTTCTTTTAAACAAGAACCTAGGATGCGCATATTCTCTTCTACATATGTTTCTTTTTTATACTTGCAGCCGAGATAATGGCTATGTCCCAACTGCAGCGACTTCAGGGCCTGAAATGTTATCTGTGCAGTCTGATAGGAGTTGGGGGCAGAATGGCGTTACCGCGGGGGCTTCACCCGTGGTCGGCTTCAGTCTTACTCGCTAGTAACTGGGTGTGGGTATCAGGTGAAGCTAGTCAACCTAGCGAGTTTATAGAGTGGCTTCAGGACTTGTGGACGCCCGTAATTGGTTTCTGGGCTCGGACCTACAAATATTCCGTAGATTTGGTTCGGCAATGTTGAGAGATTCGGAATTATAATTTGAGGAATAAGATGGACGCACTGGAGCAAGTTCATTGAGAGGATTTTTGGGAGATCTTGACCAAATCACCATCATCAAAGCACTTAGTTGAAAAAGTATGAAGGTAGCGTGCTGTTCTAGTCGGCCTCGGCCTGATCGATCCTGTTCTTCGTCCCATCCGTTCGGGATATGTTGGGCCGGCTTATAAGTTGCGTGCGTCGAGTCACCATCTCGATGGGGAGGGGGGGGGGACCCTCGGCAGAGGTTGTTCGGTCTAGCAACCCTGCTGCTCCTTCGTCGAGTGAGTTCGTCATCGTGCTGTTGCTGTACGCTTTCTCTAGTTCCACGAGGTTGGATTTTCCTGAGCTTCGTGTACGTAGTGGCACAAGACTATAGGCTCTGCATGAAAGGCAAGATATTATATGGTTTACCACACAGGTACTAGCTAAGGACCTAGACACACGTGTTGCGCCAATCTTGTGTCACTCCACAACGCAGCTGCGAGTGCTTCGACTCATCAGTGTGCCTCAAAACCTTCCTCGTGTGCTTTTCGGTATATGGGCTTCCGTCTGCATGCTGTCTTGTTGAAGTTCTGAGGAACTTAAACAAAACAGGAAGGGCAAGGTACCCGTTGATGGAGTTAGCATCTGAGCATCACGCCTCAACTATTACCTGTTTTTTTTATTTGTCACGGCCTAAAATGGTCGCTCCCTGATGATCGGAAGTATGGTCAGGTTTTCCACCTAGGAATACGAGTTACTCGCTAACCTAACATCTGACTATCTGGCGCGTCCATAGGTGGAGATAGTGAGACGGCTTTCAGCGATGTTTAGCAGACTCCCGGGTTTGGCGAAAAGCAGTCGTGGACCAACAGCGCCGAAGAAACCAGGGGGCTGGGATCTGGCACGCCGACAGCCTTATAAAAAACCGCAGAGCCCGATGACGGTACTGTGACGCGGTGACCGTGAACCAGCCCTAAATAGGCTTGCTTGACATCACTGTTTCGTGGTTAGGCCCTTGAATCAAATTACTAGAGGAGACAGACAGTCCGACTGGCCGTTGGGGACTTGCCTGTATTCAATTCCCAAGAAACCATGAAAATACGACCGACTACATTATTGCGGGCTTTGCTACAGCTTCTACGGAAACTGGCGCGCTCTGCAACCCTAATTTGGTGATTCGGGCGACTGGTGTACGAACTGGACTATCCAATCTGGGGCGGCCATTTGGTAGTTAGTTTTGGAATCTACGAAAGCACATGGACTCTGGTACCCAAGGTCTGACAGTGCTTAGTCCTCATTGGTACAGCGTGGGTGTCTGCTGCCTTTCTGAAGTCCGAGTTGCCTACTCTGACACTCAGGAAGTAAAGATCCCCGGAGTTAATCCACACCTCACCCTATGTCACAGTGGCCCACACGACTCTGTTGGTAGATATGATGTGGTGATCGCCATCTCGTCTGGTCATCACTTCGAGAAGAAAGATGAGACAGGATGCGAGAAATACCGCGGCATAAGCCTTATCAAAATTGCCGTGAAGGTCTTCGTTGTTGACTTCTCAGACGATTCCAGGCTCTGTGTGTCTCATACGAGGCCCAATCAAGACGGATTGAGAGGTGGGTGTGGATGTGGGACCAAATATTCACACTGTGGCGAATTCTTGAATTCTGCCGTAGCTACCAACTAACAGCCCTCTGCTTTGCTGACATCGCCACCGCGTTCGATTCCGTCCGTCGGGAATCTCTGTAGCGAATAATGAAACTAGATGCTGCGCTGGTTAAGATCGCTATCATGATTGAGGTCTACTACCGCTCCACCACAGCACGAGTTCTGACCCATGACAATCTGTCCCAGCCGCTCGATATTCGGTCTGGCATTTGACGAGGTTGAATTCTGTCATCCCTCCTGTTCAGCTACGCCATTGACTGTATTCTTGGAAAGTCCCTGCACGAAGTTGACCGTGTTGACTTTGCACCCGGACGTCGACTGATCCCGACCACGCTGGTGATATCACTTTTCTTTCGCCTTCCCCTTTGTTATCCACAGTCTATGGTGTCCAAGGTGAATGAGGTCTCTAAATCGGTTATTGAAGCCATAAACGCTGGGAAGACCGGCGTGTTTTCGAGCTGCACCCCTAACCAGAAGAGTTTTTGACTGTTAAATTAAAGAGGTAGGCAGTTTCAGGTACTTCAGGTCGGGAAAGCTGCCGGATGGACAATGCAAAGACGACATTTTCTCCCCAAACGATACAGCCAGCAGGGCAATGCATGTAGAGCCGACGCGATGTCGTCATCGCCAAGAATATTCGCGTGTACCTCTCATCCGTCCGGCCAATCGTTCTCTGAGTTGCTCGCGGTGAAAATGAACGCAAACTGGGGGTATTTCACCACCACTGCCCATAGAACCATCCTTCGAGTGAAGCAAGCCGACCTCGTCTCAAATGAGACAGTCCACGCTCGCTGCGACAGCATCGCAAAGATAATCCAGTCCAGCCAAGAAAGACGACTGAGATGGTTTAGGCATATTCTTCGTCGTCCACCTCGGGAGCAAGGTATTACTGCCCTCGATCTAGTGTCATTATCCCGTTGGAAGCGTGGAAGAGGAGGTTAACTCTAAACCACGAACCGTCATGCCTGAAGGAACTCGGCCTGTGATATCATCGAGGTCGGCTATTTCGGGCCCGATCGCAGCCGTACCAACAAAGCAATCGTACAGTTCCTCCAATGTCC